TCAAAGTTATCTCTACGACCCTTCTGGTAGCCGTAATCATCTTGGCCATGTCTCCTTTCGCGCTGATCTTGATAGCGGTTCTGTTGTTCTGCTTCTTGTTGAGGTGTGAACGCCACTGGCTGCTCTTCATCAATTTTCTTCTCAAATCCGCCACTCTGGAAATGGGACACAGGATGGGAAGGAGGTGGTGCAACCTCGTTGTGAGGAGCGGCCTCATTACGAGGTTGAGGTGCAACCCAAAACAATACGATTAAATCCACAGCGAATGCTGAGATTGACACTTACCGGTTTGGTATTCACTTCAGCGACTGTGCTCATATTAGGCTGAGATGTGGATGCCTGAGAAAACAGAATCATAACCAGAAGATGATTCATTGATTAAAGTGACTACCTCTCTGACGGGGAACCGCTGATTGGGGACCTGTTGACCGTTATGAGAGCTATAGCTCGAATTTGATGAAGAAGTCGGCACCTGGTGTTGAGGGTAAACCAACGGCGGTTGCGGTAACTGGCACTGGTTGAACTTCATTTCCTGATGGTCAGTTTGCAGCACTTGGGCTAAGGTAGCCAGCAGGTCCTGAATGAGGACAATGAAGACAATGAAATGAACATAAGCAAAGAAGTAAAAACATACATTATCCTCCTTCATTGGATTGGCTAGCATTTGCGGTTTGTGTATGACCGCCAAGAAATACGACATAACTTTAAATCTGAGCTGGATCAAACGTTTCATATCCTGAAAAATACCATCGACATTGTGTGAATAGATAATCGAATATACATAGACTCCGAAACAATAAATCTATGCCCAATCAGAGGTCGCAGGTATGGCCCCCAGTTTTATTTTGAGGAGGACAGGTACGGTCCAGAGGAATCAGCGTACGAGCCACCACAAAGTAATATGAGTCAAAAGTAATGAGAACTTTTCACTCCCCGTTTCAGAATCATTATATGAAGCTTTTCTTAATCTTTTCAGCAGACAGGCCAACGACTTAACCCTTTCGGACCCGACTTTTTTCCGGTAAGGGGGA